CCGTCGTCTCGGAGAAGGAGGAAACTGAGACCATGAAGAATGGTGGGGAGATTTATAAAGGATGTAAGAACCGCCCCAAAAGAGGATGTAATAGTTTTTTGGAGCTTGAAAATGTGAAAATGATAATTAAGGTGAAGTGAAATGTGAAAAGGGAAAATGGAAATAAGGGTCTTAAGGGGGTTAAAAAAAGGGAATTAAAGGAAAAATAAGAAAGTAAAACGGCTGGGAATGCAAGCGCATTCCAAAATAGGAGCAAAATGGGATAAAGGGGACGAATGTATAATTAGGTTTTTAAGGGTGTAAAAAAAAGAGGAAAGACGAAAATGCAGAAAACTGTAAACACGCAGGAATGCAAATTGCATTCTGATTCATTGAGCAAAAAGTGGGAAAAGAAAGAAGGAAAAAAAATATTATATAATTTTATAAGAGCATGTTTTACATTAGTAATTGTTTTATAATATTTTAGTTATACGTAATCATGCATTGAATTATAAGCAAGAGGTAAAAGGAATGATGTTTTTAAATATTTTATAATGCTTTAGATTATATGTGTAATTCCTGTCTTCAGATGCATTGGTTTTTATTTTCCAGGTGCATCGTACTGTCGTTTATTTGTTTTAACAATATTTTCTGTAGGACCGAGTGCGTTGAATGACTTCTTTCTCAGTAATGAAGTCACAATTGCCACGGCTAATGTATATTACGAGGATGCGAGCTCGGAACGTGTTGTGCCTTCCGAGATTTCGTTGTTGAAATTCAGCATTGATCGTGGAATATTTGAGCAGCGACACTACATACTGGCCTATGACGAGCCCGAAATGCCAAGCGAAGCATGCCGGAAAGAAGCTGTTGAGAACGGTATATTTTCATTCAGTTACTTTTTGCTTCATATCGCTCCTCCTCTCCCTCTCGCTCTTTCTCTCTTTTCATTTTCGCGGTATTTCATTGAGTATATCATGCGAGAACTTGAAATGAGTGCAATAAACGCCATGCAGTTTGTCCGTTTCTAACACCTGTACGAGAGGATAAATAAATGCGCACCAAACTAGCCAGTGAGATCATGTGTTCTGTGCAATTCAGCCCATCGAACGATTGCCTATTAATGATTTTCACTGCTTTGTACTTTAGTCTGTGCAGAAATAGTTCAAACGTTGGAAACATTTAGAAATTTCACGCATCAGCGCATGAAAGCTGAATTCGAAGCCTTGAAGGGTGTATATCTTTCCGTGTCTCCCGAGTTAATAGTTTACCCGCCAAAATTATCATGAGGCCGTAGATGATACTGAAAAGCGCGGGAACGCTGAATTTGAATAGGCACGGTCAAGCGTGGGCAGGGGGTCATTACCCTAAAATTTCAGCCTGCTAGACTCCGTCGTTCCCGAGATATTAATTTACCCGTAAAAAACTTTCACGGGGGCA